ATTTATGGTTTCTAGTTTTTATTAATTTTATAATATATATTTATAATAAAAATATTTTTAAAATAGAAATTAAAAAATGTATTAAATTAAATGAGAGGAAGATTAGTCCTGTTTTTATTTTTGACAAAACCATCAGTTAAGCTCCTGAACTAATCTCAGAATCACTATTAAACCTCTAAACTTTAATTAATGCAGTTAAGCCCTTCAGCTCTGAAATTAAAGCAATTAAGCCCTTCTTCTTACGTTATTAAGCCCCTAAATTTTAATTTTTAAAATAAATTACTTAAAAAAAAAGGCTTAATTACTTTGATTCCAGAGTTGAAGCGTTTAACTGCATCAACTAAAATATAAAAGGTTAATAGCAATTTTAGAGTTAGTTCAGAAGTTTCACTTATGGGTTTGCCTCTATTGTTTATGATCTAAGTCTTTCCCAACCACATTTTTTTATTTTGATACAGTCTCTCACTTACTGATATGACCAGAGATTGGACAAGGCTGATCTCGTAAATTGACAAGTCTTCTGACAGGCAATCTCCTTTAAATCCTCCTTTATTGACACGAATCATACGATCGGAGCAGGTGTGAATTATACCTTCTGTGGATCCCTCGCAATTTGGACTTCGGAGTAGGCCCCCACTTGCCTATTGATGAATCAAAATCACCTTATTTTGAAAATTAAAAATATGGATATTAAAATTTAGTCACAGGCAGCAATTGCCTCGATAACTGTGACTGCAATGCGAATCGTACGATCGCAGCTGAGGTGTATACTGCCTATTATGGAGTCTGGACCGCTTACAGTCTGGACTTACTGATATGACCAGAGAATGGACAAGGCTGATCTCGCAAATTGACAAGTCTTCTGACAGACAATCTGCTTTAACTCTTCCTTTATGGACACGAATCGTACGATCGCAGCTGGGGCGCACTGTGCCTTCTGTCGGTGCCTCGCAATTTGGACTTCGGATCAAAATCATCCTATTTTTTAAAATTAAAAATATGAATATTAAAATTTAGTCACACGCAGCAGTTGCCCTCGATAACTGTGAGTGCAATTAACACTTTAAAAAAGATTGATTAAATTTA